AAAGTGTTCTCAATCCTATACAAGCCCAAAGATTCTCTCCTTCCCTCAGTCAACTCATCATTCATTCCTCCTCCCAAAAATCTTAGCCAGTTTGTTCAATGGTTAGTAATTCTGGGAGTTGGAAGCCAAAACAGTTGGAGGGCTACCATTTAAGAATGCCTGGTTTAGATGCACCCTAAAGAATGGGAAATTTAATGATTCCATGTGAAGTCATTTCTCAAAGTTTATCTATGGGTTTTAGCAGCAATAGTTTCTGGCTATTATGACAATAGCAATCCCAAATCTGTGAACGCCAACTATTCAAAAGTTAGATCAGTTCCACTCTATTCAACTTGACTTGAATTTGCCAGTTCTGTGGTATTGTCAATTTTACATGTTTTCTGGAAACTCTGATGTCGACCACAAACTCACTCAAAGAGATTAGATCAGACTGTTCCTAAATAGTCAGGTTGAAGAAAAGAACTTTTGTCTTAGAAAGCTGAATCCAAGTTACCAACAAGGGGAGCGCTGTTATTACAAAAGCCTTCTTTGGTAAATCTGGCTATTCCATGGCCAGTGAAAATTATGCAGAGTTGACCAAACTGTGGGGTTACTGTTTCAAAACCCACAACATGCTTTGCTGCGGTTCTTGCTCGTACTCTGGCAAGGATCAGTGGCAGGGATTCCAGTAGATCTAGATACAATGGGAGGGAAATGACTTCTAGTTTTTCCAGGGCAGATTGACCTGTGGCGTGTAATACTGCACTTCTGGCTTGTGAAAGAGACACTTTCCTTTTTTGGTATTTTTGGTATTTGAGCAGTAAAGGAATGTATTTATTATTTGAATTAATTTGACCCAACATCATGTGCAAAGATGTAAAGCCCACCCTCTACATTCACTGGGGTTAGGGACACAGGATCCCCACAAAATTAAAAAAAAACCCTCTCTCTATACACACACACACACACACACACATTAGCTGTCCCCTGCCACGCATTGCTGTGGCCCAGTCTGGTGATCTGGAAAATAAAGTAATGAGAAAGTGTTGGTTTCTAATATATGCAACTTCTTTATGCTTCTGGATAAACAGTATTTCTTGTTGTTTCTTTGTCAGTGTTGATGTGGAGATTGACTGGTTTGCCTACTCTGGATCATGCAATATATAATTGTCATGAGGGGTTGTCAGAAGGGTCTTCAAAGACCACAAGAAAACACAGTATTTTCTATTGATCTGTGTGGGAAGTTTGGCCCGATTCTATCATTGGTAGGGTTTATAGTTCACCTACAATCAAAATGCTCTTTGATTGTAGGTGAACTATAAATCCCAGTACCTACAACTCCCAAATGTCAAGGCCTATTTTCCCCAAACTCCATCTGTGTTCATATTTGGACATATGAAGTATTCATGCCAAGTTTAGTCTAGAACCTTCATTGTTTGAGTCCATAGTGCTCTCTGGATGTAGGTGAACTACAGCTCCAAAACTCAAGGCCTATGCCCACCAAACCCTTCTGGTGTTTTCTGTTGGTCATGGGAGTCCTGTGTGCCAAGTTTAGTTCAATTCCATTGTTGGTGAGTTCAGCATGCTCTTTGGTTGTAGGTGAACTATAAACCCCAGCAACTACAACTCCCAAATGGCAAAATCAATTTTTAAGTGATGGTCACTTCTTGGATTAGTAAGTTTCTTCTGGCCAATACGTTTTAATCAATCCATAAAATCCACAAAAGTCAAACTCACAGATGTGAAGGGCCAACTGTCCTCTTGATGCAGGTATCATTCCACGTGGTTAAGAAAACACATTTTTTACACTTGCTACTGCTGGATGTCACAGGGGACATCTCATCAGATAGTATAGGAGCTGCGGTGGTGAAATGGGTTAAACCCTTGTGCTGGAAGGACTGCTGACCTGAAGGTTGGCAGTTTGAATCCACGAGACAGAGTGAGCTCCCATCTGTCAGCTTCTGCTTTTCATGCGGGGACATGAGATAAGCCTCCAAGAGGATGGTAACACATCCAGCCATCCCCTGGGCAACATCCTTGCAGATGGCCAATTCTCTCACACCAGAAGCAACTTACAGTTTCTCAAGTTGCTCCTGACACACACACAAAAACAGATAGCATGTCTGTTATTATGGCCAGCTATTTAATAATGCCCACCATGAGATGTATAATGTCATGGATGCTATCAAATAGCAGGACATAATGACAGACATACTATCTGTTCCTGGAGATGGTAAGAATTGTATCAGTACTTAAAAAAATATCCATACTACCACAACTCCTGTTGTGGTTTATTCTAATGAATTTCTAGAACTTGGCTTTAGCTGGCTGGATTCCCCCCCCCCCCCCCCCCCCCCCCCCCCCGTTCCAGACAATGAAAGTAGGAGTAAACTACTTTCCATTGTTTTGCACCTTCTGCACTTCTGGGTGGTCCCACTTTTGACAAGTTGGCTAAGGCCATGACCTTTGCCTGGAAGTTTTCCTCTTACTTTTCTTCCCTTGTTACATTGCTGATTACCAAATTAAATACTTCCAATTCTTTGTTCAATTCACAGTAGGATCTTTTCTCTTTTTAAACTTTGGACAAAAACAGTGGTACAAATGTGTTCCTTCTATTGCATTTTACATTACAACTATACAAATATTTTTATGTACCTGCAAGACCAGGAACATGTCTACTTGCTGAGGAGTTTGGAGATTTAAACTTTTTGACAGAGAAAGCTAAAGATCTTGTAAATTACAACTCCCAGGGTTCCATAGCATTGAATTATCATAATGAAAGTGAAGTCAAAATGGCTCAGTTCTACAGTTTAGAACAGGCATGGGTTCCCTTTGGGTGTTTTGGACTTCAACTCCCACAATTTTGGACCTGGGCCCTTTGGGTGTTTTGGACTTCAACTCCCACAATTTCTAACAGCCTCAGGCCCCTTCCTTTTCCTCCTCAGCCACTTAAGTGGCTGAGAGGGAAAAGAAAAGGGCCTGGGCTGTCCAGTCTAATATTTAGCTTCTTCTGCTTTATATGTGCATTTGTAAATGTATGTTACTTCCTTTACATATTTTATAGATATTTTATGTTGGGAAGTGTCTGTTGGGAGGTGTCTATGGACATTCCAAAGATATATAAACCTCACTTGCTTGGTTTCCAACAGACCTCACAACCTCAGATGCCTGCCATAGAGAGATGGGCTGAAACTAACCAAATGAAGTTCAACACTGAAAACGCAAGATACTCCACTTAGGCAGAAAAAAATGAAATGCAAAGATACAGATTAAGGGACAGCTGGCTTGACAGCAGTATGTGTGAAAAGGATCTTGGAGTCCTCATAGACAACAAGTTAAACATGAGTCCACAATGCCATGTGGCAGCAAAAAAAAAGCCAATGGGATTTTGGCCTGCATTAATAGGAGTATAGTGCCTAGATCCAGGGAAATCCTGCTACTATTCTATTCTGCCTTGGTCAGACCACACCTGGAATACTGTGTCCAATTCTGGGTTCCGTAATTGAAGGGAGATGACAAGCTGGAATGTGTCCACAGAGGAGGGCAACTAAAATGATTAAGGGTCTGGGGAACAAACCCTATGAGGAGAAGCTTAAAGTGCTGGGCATGTTTAGCCTTCAGAAGAAAAGGCTGAGAGGATACACAATGGCCATGTATATGAAGGGAAGTCATAGGGAGGAGGGAGCAAGCTTGTTTTCTGCTACCCTGGAGACTAGGACGTGAAACAATGGCTTCAAACTACAGGAAAGGTCATCCCACCTGAACATTAGGAAGAACTTCCTGAGTATGTGAGCTGTTCATCAGTGGAACCCTCTGCCCATGAGTGTCATGGAGGCTCTTTCTTTGGAGGCTTTTAAATAGAGGCTGGATGGCCATCTGTCAGGGGTTCTTTGAATGCATTTATCCTGCTTCTTGGCAGGAGGTTGGACTGGATCTCTTCCCACTCAAGGATTCTATTATTCTATGTGGGCAAAACGTTAGGAGGGAATGCTTCTGGAACATGGCCATACAGCCCAGAAAACTCACAGCAACCCAATAAACAATTGTAGTCCTTAAGAAATCAATTTACAAATATGATTGCTTTTTAAAGCGTATGGAATGTAAAAAGGAAGTGAACCATAATTCTAGTAGAAGCCATCTGATGAAAATGTTCATCTCATTTCTTGTCCACACAGTGTTGCATCCTGATTGTATTACTTCACTCTTCTTCCTGAGAAATGGAGAAAATGATCTCATGCTTCCTTTTACTGGTTGGACTTTTCCCTATCACAGCCAGGGAGAGACGTGTTCCAGAGACACTTTCAAGTCAAAGAAATGATGCACTTTTACTTGGTGAGTTGTGGCAGATTTGTCTCAAAGAAGCAAAAAAAAAAAAGTTCCCAAAACCCAAGCCAGGACTTTTTTTTCTATTAAGAGGATGCTTTTGTGAAGGAGATAAGAATAGATAGTGAAAAGTAGATACATTTTAGAAAAGGACACTTGTTTGTGAAGTATGGAATCTGTATTTAAAGTGCAACAAAAAGAACAACAGCAACAATTTTATTTGTTACCTGCCTCTCCTTGTGGCTTGAAGTGAGTTATACCATAGTTAAAATATATAATCATTGTAAACATTCTATCAAGTATCCATATTAAAACATATTTCTATAAAATATATATTAAAATATGTAGCATAATGTAAAAATAAACCACATGTAGTTCACATTTGATCAGCCCACACACTGCCTTTTCCAGAGAAAGAAAATATGCCATGCAGTTGTACAATAAAGAACAGGTAGTTTACTCTTCGTAGTTCAGAACAACATATGTACAATATGGTAAGTAGCATCAACTCACATAATGTCCTTTTATGAGAGATTTAAAATGGTTTTTTTTTGTCCGTGTGGATAAACTCCTACAGCAGTTCATGAAGCAAGAGCACATCCCAGACTCTCTGCTTCACTCTGCTTCTCTCTGAGCACCTGAATAGTTGGAGCCTGAAAAATGTAACAGTAACCAAAAGTTCCAGGCTCAGCCATCTCCTCGCATGAAGCCCGACCAATCAATTTCATGCATCTTATTTTACAATTGACACACACACATTAGCTGATTTCTTGCATGTTCCAACAAATACACAGAACAAAGATTAAAATGCAAGACGCAAGTTTCAAATTCATGATTAAAACTGACTGACACACAGAAGGTTTTCAATGGTGTCTTAAATTTTGACAATAATATAGTATTTCCAAACTGTTCGATGTTTTAAGTTCCAAAAGTAAAGAAGGACCTATAGAAATAGTAACTATTGGCAACAACAGCCACTCAGAAATTAAGAATCCAAGTACCTACTGGTCTTTGTAAAGCATGGCCATGGAATAGATGTTTCCAAACTATTTTCAAGGAAAGAGAGATGCGATTTCTCTGAAATAAGACAAATGCTGCAGGTAACAATATTCCAATGAGCCTTTAAAACCAAAAATCGTCTTTCAAGATGGCAATGAGACTAGTAGCAAGCGGCTGATTTAGAGCAAGGAAGCAATGGAAAGGAAAAAAGGGCACTCAATTTTTCAAGTCCTTTTTCTTTGGTTTTTTACTAATTACTATTTTACTATTTACTATTTAAGAAGGCACATCAGGCTGCTGCTATGTTCCTTTGTAGTGTAATGTCTAGTTTTACACTTAGAATGAAACATAAATGTTGGGAAAGTGCTGCTGTCAATAAGATTAATTATCTGAATAACCTTGGAATGAATTTCTAGTTAATCTGCTCTGCCATATGAGATCATACATTTTTCTGCCCTTATTGCTTATGAGATTGCAAATAAACACTGCATTCCCAGTAGAGTTTTAGACTCTAATTTACAGAATTTCGTTGCGTGTTCACAATTGTCTGATCCTTAGTAGTGTTTTCTTCAGCTCTAAGGTGAAGGTTTCCCCTTGACATTAAATCTTGTCATGTCCAACTCTGGGGGGGGGGGGGTGCTCATCTCTATTTCTAAGCCGACGAGCCAGCGTTGTCCGTAGACTCCTCCTAGGACATGTTGCTGGCATGACTACATGGAGAGGCATTACCTTCCCGCCGAAGTGATACCTATTGATCTACTCACATCAGCATGTTTTTGAACTGCTCAGTTGACAGAGACTGGGTCTAACAACGGGAGCTCACCCTGTCTGTGGATTTGAACTGCTGACCTTCCAGTAAGCAAGTTCTGCAGCTTAGCGGTTTAACCCGCTGTACCACTACGGCCCCTTCTTTAGCTCTATCTGCATTATATGAATCTACTGACCATATCATACAGTTCCAAACTGTATTATACAGAATGGCATTGTAGATGGGGCCTTTGTTGAAACTGACTGATAAACTTAGCTGAGGTCAGAGGGGAGAAAAGTTTATTTCTTGTTTGAATAAATGAATTCACAGTGGGATTTGTGGGCATTGTCCACCGAGGCATTGTTCCACATGACATTTGCAAGTTTGACCTTGAGGAAAACTTTTCATTTGGCCCAATAACTTCTCATTTCTAAGAATGTGTTTATAGAATCATAGAACATATAAACAATCCTCTGCTTTGGAATTCTAATAGCCCGGGAGGAAGTAATGGTTCTCAGCCCTTTCCAGATGGCAATTAGTATTCAAAGCTTTAAAAAGCTGGTGCCAACATTCCAGGAAGATGTCTCTTGGAGAAATGAACATACCCCAAATGCATATATGTAGCCATGAACCATTCAAGAGAGAGTGGAGGATTTTTGCATTTTGCCTTAAATGTGAAACAAAATCTTCCATGTACATATTTATTTATTTACAGCATTTCTACCCCGCTTTTCTCACCCCCACAGGGTAAATACATTCGCATTATTATATTCCTTCCCTATGCTTCTTGAATGAATGGGACACTGTCCCTCAAACGTGGACACTCAGGCCCCTTCCATAGATAAAGGTAAAGGTTTTCCCCTAACATTAAGTCTAGTTGTGTCCAACTCTGGGGGGAGGTGCTCATCTCCATTTCTAAGCCAAAGAGCTGGCATTGTCTGTAGACACCTCCAAGATCATGTGGCCGGCATGACTGCATGGAGCACCATTACCTTCACACCGGAGCAGTACCTATTGATCTACTCACATGTACATGTTTTCTGCTAGGTTAGCAGAAGCTTGGGCTAACAGCAGGAGCTCACGTTGCTCGCCTGATTCGAACCTGCAACCTTTCAATCAGCAAGTTAGCAGCTCAGTGGGTTAACCCACTGCACCAGCGGGGGTTCCATTTTATACAGCTGAATAAAATCCCACACAAGCTGCTTTGAACTGGAATATATGACAATGTGGACTCAAATAACGCAGTTCAAAGCAGATATTGTGGGATTTTCTGTCTTATATGGCTGTGTGGAAGGGCCCTTAGAAAGAATTAATTTCACATTGTGTCATGGCTGTTTGGAATCAGTTTTTGTTGTTGCTTCAACTATCCGAATGTATGGAATGGGACCAAAGGTCACTAAAGTACATTGAGCTCATCTCCAATGGTGACTTAAGCCAAGACAAGGATGTGTCAATAAATGGCATATCCTTTAAAATCCCTATCTTGGTCTTTACATTTAGCAGAATTTGACCTCATAAGTAGTAGAAAGTGTAGCTGGCCAGCATGCATGATTTCAAAGTCCATGGCAAGTGAAATAGGGAACTCACTTTTCTTGGACAAAAGGAGGAAATACAGCTAAACAGGCTAACCAAATGTCCTGTATAGCTGGGTTGTTGTAGGTTTTTCGAGCTGTATGTCCATGTTCTAGAAGCATTCTCTCCTGATTTTTCACCTGCATCTATGGCAGGCATCCTCAGAGGACCTCACAACTTCTGAGGATGCCTGCCATAGATGTAGGTGAAACATCAGGAGAGAATGCTTCTAGAACAAGGCCATACAGCCCGAAAAACCTACAACAACCCAGTGATTTCAGCCTTGAAAGCCTTTGACAATGTCCTGTATGGCTTCTAGGTCTGAAGTCATAACAGATCAATGAACATAGAGCTTGTACAATGTAAAGGGCTAATTCAAGCTAAAGAAAGAAGATTTCCCTGACAAAATACTACTTAGAAGAGAGCCATTTCTGTAGGTCATAGAATCATACAGTTGGAAGAGACCTCGTGGGCCATCCAGTCCAACCCCCTGCCAAGAAGCAGGAAAATCGCATTCAAAGCACCCCCAACACATGGCCATCCAAACTGTATTTAAAAGCCTCCATAAAAGGAGCCTCCAACACACTCCAGGGCATAGAGTTCCACTGCTGAACAGCTCTCACAGTTAGGAAGTTCTTCCTAATGTTCAGGTCCTACAGAAAGACGTAGAAAGTGCTTTGTTCCCCATGGCATCTCGACTAAAGTTTTCATCAGAGACTTCAACAAATTGGCCAGATTTCCTTACAGTTTTTCCTTCCAGCTGCTGTCTATCCCATTGGCAAAGGGAATAAGGAACTATAAACTGACATCTAGGCTTCTAGTTAGTGGTCTGTGTCAACTGCCAGTACATTGATGTCATGTCTAATATGTTCCATGTTCTGTACTTGGAGCACTAAAAGGTTTAACTGGAAGTGGGTAAGTGAAATGTTTGACCCCAAATCCTGAGCAGTGTGTAAAGCTCTTCTTCAACCTTCTGAATTTTTTAAAAATACATCTGAATCAACATAGAGAAATCCAGCTTCAGGCATGGTTGGAAGAAGAAACAATAAAGTGGATCCAACTCCTCAGGTCCAGGGCCAGACCTCCTAGTTTGGGCTCATCTCCAGTGGTGACTACACTATGTATAGCCCTTCAAATCTGATTTTTTTTCCTGACTTCATTCCTATAAATATCCCTTACATGTTATCTGTGTGCAATTATTATGCTGTGATCTTTAGTGTTTTATTCTACTTCTATTCCAAAGGAGTAATAATTAGGCTCAGCAACAAGACAATAATATGGAAAGAGGATAAATATGCCAGCATTTCTGCATTGCATTAGAAATGGAATGCCATTATGGTCATTTTGGCACACGTTTATTAACCTCTGATTCTGAAAGAGTTAGCAACCTTTCTGTGATCTTGCATCTGAGACGAAAGCAATATTGTAGCCTGCGAGTTAATAAAACCATACAGTTACTTCATAGCCCACAAATAGCAGCCTTGTTCTATGCCCACACATTACTTGGGTTGATGAGAAATTTTCTGCTTGAGTCTGCTGGAAACAAGGGCATTTCCTGTCTCTCAAGAGGTCAAGAACCATGTGGTTAGTACATATCTTTCAGCTCCTCATGTCTCAAGGCAGGTACAAAAGTGCTGTTGTTGTTATATTAATGATCGTTGTGTTATTTGTGAATTTTAATTGCTTGTTTTAAATAAAGTTATAAATATAACTATTATTATTTGGAACACAACAAGATGAGTCCACAGCAAACAAGATCACTCTGCTGGCTATTGTATTGGATCACACGTTGGACACTTCCCAAGTGTCTAGGATTGTGTGATGTATTGGCGAATAATGTGTGCAGATCTGAGTAGGGTGGCCTCTTGCAGCTGACAGGTGATAATTTTGTCAGTGCCGAATGTGTTTAAGTGCAGTCCAAGGTCTTAGGCACTGCACCCAGTGTGCCGATCACCACTGGGACCACCTTTACTGGCTTGTGCCAGAGTCTTTGCAGTTCAATATTTAAATCCTCATATTGTGTCAGCTTTTCCAGTTGTTTCTCTTCAATCCTGCTGTCACCTGGGTTTGCGACATCAACGATCCACACTTGGTTTTTTAACATGATCGTTAGGTTAGGAGTATTGTGCTCCAAAACTTTGTCAGTCTAAAACTTCAAACTTATATGCCACTCCGAGCCCTAGGGGAGTGGCAATATATATGTTTGAAATATAAATAAATAAATAAATAAATAAATAAATAAACAAACAAACAAACAAATAAATAAATTCAGAAGTCCTAGAGTAGTTTTATGCATTCATTTTCTGTAAATTTTTCAGGCTTGTGATCCCACCAGTTCTTTGTCGCAGGCAGATGGCATTTGTGGCACAAGTTCTAATGAATCATCTGAGCAACTGTTTTATGCCTCTGCTTGTAGTGTGTCTGCGCGATCTTCTTGCAGCATTATTATTATTATTATTTATACCCCACTTTATCTCTCCTGCAGGAGACTCAAAGCAGCTTAACATAGTTAAAACACACTGATAGAACACAATACCATTAAATGACATAAAGTATATAAAATGCATTGAACAATTATTAAAACACCAATACTAATAAATTGGAAAGTTAACATTCATAAATTGAAATTTTCTGAGTATGCCTTCTGGAAGAGATATATCTTTAATTGTGTCTTAAATTTTGACAGGTCATTTAACTGTCAAATCTCTCCTGGCAGGTCATTCCACAGTTTAGTACATTTCAGTTTTCTTAATACTTATTTTTTAAAAACAAACACACACACAGTGAATCAGGGCCAGCTAACATCTCCCAAAAAAGAATTCCCCAGCAGCAACCAGCCAGGCTTTGAAGCTGCAAGGCCATTAAATGCTAATTAAGGTGGCCAGTTGCAATGTTCACACTTGTCTCAAGCAGACAAGAGTTGTTTCTCCCACCCTGGACATTCCACAGATATATAAACATCACTTGCCTAGTTTCCAACAGACACCTCAACCTCTGAGTATGCCTGCCATAGATGTGGGCGAAACATCAGGAGAGAAGGCTTCAGGAACATGGATATACAGCCCAGAAGACTCACAGCAACCTATGAAAGCCTTCAACAACACACTCAGTGGATCAATTCATTTAGATTCGATTTGGCCATGGTTTACGTCATTGATTACTAGATGTTATTTTATTTTTCTTTCCTTCCAGGAGAATTTTGCAGTGACAAACGGCTTGACCTTGTGTTCATCATTGACAGCTCTCGCAGCGTTCGCCCGTATGACTTTGAGAAAGTGAAGGAATTCATCTTAACCATCCTTCAGTTTTTGGACATCCGGCCAGATGTCACTAGAGTGGGACTGATCCAATATGGCAGCACAGTCAAGAATGAATTTTCTCTGAAGACCTTTGCAAGGAAACAGGACATGGAGAGAGCTGTGCGAAGAATGATGTACCTTTCCACTGGCACCATGACGGGATTAGCCATTCAGTTTGCAGTGAACATTGCCTTTTCAGAAACTGAAGGGGCTCGGCCGCTCAGCCAGAACGTGCCCAGAGTTATCATGATAGTGACCGATGGCAGGCCCCAAGATCCGGTTGCAGAGATTGCCGCAAAAGCTCGAAACTCAGGAATCCTAATTTTTGCAATTGGTGTGGGAAGGGTAGATATGAATACACTGAAATCCATTGGTAGCGAACCTTACGAAGACCATGTCTTTTTGGTTGCAAATTTCAGCCAGATTGAAACGTTGACATCTGTGTTCCAGAATAAACTTTGTGGTAAGGCTATAAAGTGATCATTTAAAAGGCTTTGTTGAAAATATTCGGTTTTTAAAAAGAAAAACAGTTATATCTATATTTGTCGACAGAGATATGCACACAGTGTTTTAAAAAGAAAATAGATATGCTAGAAAGGTTGCACCTTTAATCTCGGTAACAGCAGGTTGTAATCTACTTAGAGAAGAGACAGCTTTCTTGAAACGTACCATGAAGAAGAAGCTCAGATGTAAAAACAAACAAACAACAAATGGTTTGTCATTATGTGTATAGCTCCAAGTAAGTCTTGGACCCAAACACAGTACTCCCTCTTCACATAGGGAGAAGAAATTAAAAGTCAGTTTCGATTTGACTCCCATCAGACGGGAATCAAGATACCAATGGCTAGAATTATGACGTGGACCTAGTCAGCTATGAAGGGGCTGGGCAAGGGCTAGCGCAAAGAAGTATCATAGGGTTGGGAAGTGGATAAAGTGGATAAAGTGCAGATCAGGGTCCAACCTGATGGCCAGGGAAGAGCCTGGGGCTAATCATTCAAAGGCCTGCTGGAACCACCAAGTTTTCAGGTCCCTACAGAAGGGGGGCAGTGATGGGGCTTGTCTTATCTCTCTGGGGAAGGTGTTCCAAAGTTGGGGGGCCACTACCAAGAAGGCCCTCTCCCTCATCCCCACTAACCATGTTTGTGACAGTGGTGGGAGTGAGAGGAGGGGCTCCCCAGCAGATCTTAGAGACTGCGCCGGTTCATAAGGGGAGATGCAATCATGGAGATAGATGGGGCTCAAACCATTTAGGGCTTTGTAGGTCATAACCTGCACCTTGAATTGGGCCCGGCAACTTATCAGCAGTCAGTGGAGCTGCTTTAAAAGGGGCATTGTGCATTCCTTATAATTAGCTCCAGTTAGGAACCTGTCTGCTGACCTTTGTACCAGTTGGAATTTCCAGATGGTCTTCAAACAAAGACAACCCCACATAGAACATGTTACAATAATCCAATCTGGATTTAACCAAGGTGTGGCCATGTTCAACTTCTCAAGGTATGGTTCGCAGCTGATGCACAAGCTTTGACTGTGCAAAGGCCCTTCTGGCCACCACTGACACATGAGCATCAAGCATCAGCGCTGAGTCTAGGAGGACCCCCAAGCTGCGGACCTGTGTCCTCAAAGGGAGTGTACCCCTGTGGACCACAGGTTGCCAAAGGATGTCCCGATCAGCCCACGACTGACCAGGAGGACCTCTGTCTTGTCTAGATTAAGTTTCAACTTGATAGCCCTCATCCAGTCCATCACAGCTGCCAGGGACTGGTTTAGAGTCCTTGGAGTTCGGTGGAAATGAGTAGTAAAGTTGAGTGACATCTGTATACAGATGGCACCAAACTCCCAAACTCTGATGACCTCACCCAGTGGTTTCATGTAAATGTTAAAAAGCATAGGGGATAGAATGGAACCTTGCAGGACCCCACAGGTCAATGGCCAGGGGTCCGAGCAGGTGTCCCCCAGCTTCACCAACTGGATACGATCCGCCAGGAAGTTGTGGAGCCACTGCAAAGCAATTCATCCAAGACCCATTCCAGAGAGCCGCCTCAGAAGGATACCATGGTCAATGGCATCGAAAGCTGCTGAGATGTTTTACCTCTAGGAACTAATAGGTGTTATAACACAGCTCTGTGTTCAACATCCACTGGAAGCTGACCATAGAATTGCATTGGAGTATTTAGAGCAGTGGTTCCCAGCCTTTGGTCCTCCAGATATTTTGAATTTCAGCTCCCACAATTCCTAACGGCTGGTATGCTGGCTGGGATTTCTGGGAGTTGAAGTTCAAAAGATCTGGAGGACCAAAGATTGAGAACCACTGATCTAGAGACTTTGAATGTCGTTAAAGAATAAAGAAGGCAGGAAAGGGAGGTAGAGAACATGAGCCCAAGGCTCCATTTTGAAGGTTTACATAAAGAAACATGATTTGTCATAATGTCAAAATCAGGCTACGCCTTAATAGAAAATACTGTAAATCAAGTGATGTTATTCATACATCCATATATGCATGGGATTTCTTTATCTGGCTGCTATTCAGACATGGAATCTTTGACCTTCAATCCAAATTGGGCTGTGTGTTATTTCCATTTTTCATCCTTCTCACTATGTAGAAATCAAGAAATCTTCTGCAGGAAAAGTTTCATTTTAGAAACTTTCTAAAATTATATTCATCATTCTCATTGTTCATCCTAATTCCTAAAAATTTAAATAGTTGAAAAATGCTATTGAAGATAATAATATCTACAGATATTAAGACAAAAATTCAAAAATGTAATGCATTATATATGAGCCACAATATACTAACATTTAGTATACGTTAGTATCTAAATGTTTTTCCTTATATGGAATGGATGTGTTATTAAATATCACCATGTGTATCATATGTTGAATTATTTGACATTCACTGTGATGGAAATTGGCAAAACATAAAAGATGAACAAAAATTATATGTGTTTTATGCACATATAAATTTGTATTTGCATCATACTTGGTGATTATCACATTAATATTTATTTTATTTGTCTGTTTTAAAATATTTTGGACCTTCCGGCTTTTTCATATATTTGTTCTAACTAGAATATTACTTTTCTTTTTCAGTTCAACACATGTGCAGTGTGATTGAACAACATGGTTGCGATCATTTCTGCATCAACACTCCTGGCTCTTATGTGTGCAAATGTAAACAGGGATATATTTTGAACTCAGACCAGAAGACTTGCAATAGTAAGTTTTATCCTTTTACCTCTTAAATCTTATAAACTGGGAAATACATGGCAGGAATGTATTAAATTTTTTCATAAAGGATAAGAGAACCAGAACATCAGCTTCCTCAAAACGTGATTCATTGAAATGTATTTTTATTATACTTATGTTTAATGTTTAACTTATGTTTTAACTTATGTTTTAACTGATGTGGTATGTTTTAAGGCACCATGGAGGTGCGATTGTAAGCCTCCTTGAATCCCCTTCGGGGTTGAGAAAGGTGGGATATAAATAAGATAGATAAATAAATAAATAAATAAATAAACATTTCTTATAAACTAAAGTGGTTGCATAAAATGTGTATGTGTGTATACACTTGTATACATTAATATACAATCCCACATTGAGATTAGTGAACTCAAGGTGATATGCCCCTTATCCTCATTTTATTCTCACAACAACTTTCTGAATAGATAGGTCTGATTATTATTATTATTATTATTATTATTATTATTATTATTATTATTAGATACATAACAATGTTGTTGTTCATTCCTTCAGTCATTTCCGACTCTTCGTGACCTCATGGACCAGCCCATGCCAGAGCTCCCTGTCGGCCGTCACCACCCCCAGCTCCTTCAAGGTCAATCCAGTCACTTCAAAGATCCCATCCATCCATCTTGCCCTTGGTCGGCCCCTCTTCCTTTTTCCTTCCATTTTCCCCAGCATCATTGTCTTCTCTAAGCTTTCCTTTCTTCTCATGTGGCCAAAGTACTTCATCTTTGCCTCTACTATCCTTCCCTCCAATGAGCATTCGGGCTTTATTTCCTGGAGGATGGACTGGTTGGATCTTCGCAGTCCAAGGCACTCTCAGAACTTTCCTCCAATACCACAGTTCAAAAGCATCTATCTTCTTTCACTCAGCCTTCCCTATGATCCAGCTCTCACATCCACAGGTGACTACATAATCATACAATAATACATAATAACGCAGTAATAATAATAATAATAATAATAATAATAATAATAATAATAATAATAATAATAGATACATAACAAGATTAGTACACAGCAAACAAGATCACTATGCTGGCTTTTGTGTTCAATCACACTTCCCAAGTGTCTATGACTGTGTGATGTATCAGCGAATAATGCATGCAGATTTGAGTATAGTGGCCTTTTGCAGCTGACAGGTGGTAATTTTGTCATCGCCAGTTGTTTTTAAGTGTAGGCCAAGGTCTTTCGGAACTGCACTTAGTGTGCCGATCACCACTGGGATCACTTGTATTGGCTTGTGCCATAATCTTTGCAGTTCCATCTTTAAATCCTTGTATTGTGCAAGCTTTTCCTGTTGCTTTTCATCAATTTTGCTGTTGCCTGGGATTGCAACATCGATGATCCATACTTTGTTTTTTCCCATGATCATGAGGTCAGGAGTATTGTGTTCCAAAACTCCGTTGGAAGTCCCAGAGTAGTTTGACGTGTTCATTTTTTGTAACTTTTTCAGGCTTGTGATCCCACCTGTTTTTTGTCGCAAGCAAATTGTATTTGTGGCGCAAGTTTCATTACTGTTGTTGTGGTTGTTGTTGTTATGTCCTGCATTTATCTATTAATTGAAGCAAAAATATCATGGAAAAGGTAAGGATAATTTCTTACGCCTCACAAAAGAAAAGCAATTCAACTCATTTCAGCAAACATTTTACTTAGAATTAACAATATAAACACAAGAATGAAACAAGCAGGTCTGGTAAGTCTTGCATAAATAAACAAGGGCTTTGAACTTTATAGAAACCATTTAAAAACCTCTGTCACAATATATTCATGAATAACATTTTCTTTTACCAGCCTCCACTTTTGTTATGATTTTGATTTGGTTCATTAAACACACACACACACTCAACTTGTTGAAAAATGCTGTTTAGTGAAGCTTTGCAGTTTTGCTGTTTATCTGTTTTGCTACTCATATAAGAACTTCTAGAAACTGTTGCCATTTACTTTGACTACTGTAGACAAGCACACTCTGCTGCAGTAGATTGGCTATTGAAAAAAATTAATTTTCCTCGTTTATATTTTATTGCACTGTTTACTACAAACATGCAGCTGGCATAGAAAGTCTGTGTTTCTCTAGTTCCCCTTTACTATTTTCTCAGTGCCAATGCTGCCAACATGTGTATATCCAGCTAGACAGAGAAAAGGAGGGAAAGGAGGATGAGCAGTCATACAAAGACTTTGCGTAAAGGAGAAAGGCAGGGTATAAAATCCAATAAACATGCAAACACAATGCATTATGTAGTTCTAACTGTAGAAACCCATAAGGGTATTGTTTAATTGTTCGGGTGGAGGCCAAAAGGGGGCGTTGGGGAGAGAAGAATAGTCCATTTTATGGGGGAGTAGGGGTTGAAGGAGTAAGCATATTTCCCCCCTGTTTTCCTGTTATTTCCCCCACACATGTTGCTATCATGGAAATAAAGTGGGGAGGGGGAATAACCAGAGAAAAGGGGGGAAATCACTTTCCTCCTTCAACCCCCGCGCTCCGAAAATGGACTATTTTTCTCTGTCTAGGCCCCCCTTTGGAGACCACCCAGATAATGGAACAGTACCCAAATAAGTTGCTGGAGTAGGAGATATGTCATAGTGGTTTGCTTATTGGACTTGGACTGTGGGAATATAATTTAAGAAAATAGAATACAATTTAAATATATGCATACACCTCTGCTATAATTCTCTCTCTCTAGGAAATCTTTTACATAATGTTCTTTTGCATCACATCCACTGGGGTAATGATTCTACACTCTCCTTTGTAAGCATTCACCACTCCTAAATGTCATGAAATAGTGGCATTGTTGTTACTCACCATTTTCTAGAGTAATTAAAATTATTTTTAAAACATTTTAAAAAAACTTTAGCCTGGGCTACTCTCTAGTTTTTATAACTTTACAGAATGTCAAAAAACCCTGCAGTAATGTAATCTGTTAGCTAGAGCAATAGGACATTATGGCACAAAATATTATACAAAATGTGTCACAGCCTAACTGTAATATATACAACACTGCTCTGTATATACACACAGCACTGCTGTATATATAACCATTTTATCTGAAGTTCCTGAGGAGGCTATTAAAAAGGCCTTGAATCAAACACAACTAGATATTTATCCACTCTGTTTAGTTATTGGCTCTTTCTTGCTCTTGGTAGTTTTTCATAAAATCAACCATAGTCCCCTTCAGGGCTGCCTTTCTGGGATGGGACTGAAGGACACTTTTCTGTAGTGTTTTCAGACTTTCATTGGAAACCAGACTCGGGAAATGATTTGGAGAAATACCTATTCAACGGCGTGATGATTGGCCAATGGGGTTTCTCTGGACTTGGTTCTGTCCCACATGCTGTTTAGTAGTATCTATATCAGTGGTTCCCAACCTGTGGTCCATGGACCACCAGTAGTCCACAAGAATTAAAATGTGGTTCACAGTCTCACCATTACTACACAGTTTCAACGAGAGCAACTGGTCTTGGATATAAACCCAGAAGTCATTGATTTTTAATAGTTTTAAATTATTTTTATGCGAGTTTTATTATGTGACTTTTACCTCTTTTAAATGATGTATTTATGTGTGTTCAGTATCTAATCATTTCCAGTTTGTACGCCACACTGAGTTGCTTCAGGCTGAAAAGGGCTGGATAAAAGTGTGGTAAATAAATAAATAAACCCTCTTATAGTACCAAGGCTTATTAAATATGGTTTTCTGTGAGCGAGCAGGTGGCGACTACTAGATGGCTTATGTTCTGTATCGGAAACTAGAGCTGATGTGGTCTATCCAATGATATTCTCTGAATCAGCACCCCATATAACCAAACCAATCTAAAGTTGACCAAAAACAGATTCGTAACTCTTTTGGTACTAATGTTACAGAGCGGTCCCTGGTCAAGTGGTCCCTGGTAAAAAAAAAAAGGTTCAGAACCACTGATCTAAATGAAACTTCTAGGAGAGGTTGCCCAGATATTTGGAGACCAATGTCCTGATAACTGTAACTATATTGAACTCCATACTTTTGCTTTAATGTGACATTGAGGGCTGGGTGGTGGTGGTTGGAGTGTGGAGTGATAAATGTGTTATTTTGTGATGTGTGGTGGGGAAAGCATTTAATTTTGCTGTACAATGTCCAATGGTAATAAAGTTATTCTATTCTATTATATTCTAACACCTAACACTAATGTTCACTTCCATCTTACTCCAAGGAAGCTGTTTCAGAACAAAAACAGTGTCTACTGTCGTTGAAGGCTTTCATGACCGGGATCACTGGGTTGTTGTAGGTTTTTCCGGGCTATATGGCAATGTTCTGGAGGCAATTTTTTTTTTCTCCTGACGAGATGCAGGCGAAACGTCAGGAGAAAAATTGCCTCCAGAACATGGCCATATAGCCCAGAAAAACCTACAACAACCCAGTGTCTACTGTCATTTGCTAAGTAGATGAGAATGAAAAAATTGAAAGTTAATCCAATCCCAATCAATCATAAGGCAAATCAGGGAATGTTTTCTCATCTTGTGCTGGACAGAGTTACACTTGCCATAAAATGTTAGAGGCACAGGCTAAGCATACTCGTACATGTTAAGGTTGGGTGTCCAATTTTAGTGGTGGCTTAGTGCACCAACTGCAGAGGTAGAACTCAACAGTTGGGTCCAAACTGCTTAAAAGTTTGCATTTCCTATCCCAGTCCCAGCACTGCAACAGGTGCATTTTGTAAGGAACCTCCTCAGAGATGGCTCCAGTCTATAGTAGGTTTGGTTGCCCGCTCCTGATTTCTTTCTCAAGCATAGGGCAGAAAATTAAAATGGTGTGCTGTGCTTTTATTTTCCCCTTTAAAATTATGTTATAATATGTTTTGGACTGTTTTTAATCATATGTTTTTGAACAAAATTGTTGATTAATGATTTTTAGCTTTTGTAGTTTTGGCTGCATTTTTAGTTCAAATGATAGTAAGTTGCTTTAGGTCCTGTGCCAGGAGAGAAGGCAAAAGTCTAA